TTTGGCTGTTTCGTGATAGTAAATATCTAGATAAATGACCAGATAGATAGATGACTAGCAAGCAAGCCGTAATCAATAATAATAGATATTATTTCAGGCTCTTATCAAGATAAATGTCCAGATAAATAGATGACCAGATAGATATATTAATAGATAAATTATTTAATAGATAGATAATTTATTAAATAGATAAATTAATAGATAGATAAATTAATAGATAGATAAATGAACGTACATATGTCAAATGAGATATATAAATAAATAAATAAAAAATGTATATCCTGATAAATGAAGAGATTGATAGATAGGTAGATAATTGCAGAGATAAATAGTAAAAAATAGGTTAAATATGAATAAATAGATAGATGGATAAACAGATACTTCGATAAATAGATAAATGACTAGATAGGCAAATGACTAGATAGATAGATGATTTTTTCCTAGAATAATAATGGCTTGTTTTATTTAACACGTTTTCAACAAGTAAAATTTGCAAGGTAGACAATTTTTTTACATTTGACAGTAGTTTTTTAATATCGAATTAAAATATCGAAATATATCGAAGATTATATCGACGTTTAAAAGTTTGATCATACAAAAAGTGATTGTTCAGTTATATGTGTTGAGGTTTTTTGCTTTTTGTACATTTACAAAAAATTATAGATTTTTATTGGTTCAAAGAAAAGGGTCTGGTCTCTTGAATTAAAGCATAAAATTATTGAAAAACATGAGGATGTACGAAAGTAACACATCATAGATATGTACTGTGTTAAAACAAAAGGAGTTCATAAATGGTATAACTCCTACTAAGATAATGTATAAGCTGCTTTTTGAGCTCTATAAGTTTGTGTTTAAAAATTACACCAAAAAAGTTCTAACATGTCTAACTTATTTCCGCAATATCGTGAATTGACAGAAAAAACAATAGTAAATAATTAATATAATAAATAGTGAATTTATTTTCAATATTCAAAAAACTATGCGCATTGCTGTAACGAATTAATATCATTTCAATGTATTTTTATTGCTTCGAGATACGAGTAATTCGGCATACGAGCGTGGTTACGGAACGAATTACACTCTTATAGTCCAGTAATTATAGTAAGTTCACCTCGGAATTCGAAATACCCAGCTGTAAGTCTAAAATAGCACCCTACAATAGCAAGTTGTCTCAAAACCTACATATAGTAGTACGTAGAGAGTACGTACCATATGTAAGTTTTGAGACAACTTTTAGGGTGCTGTTTTAAGGTATTCACAGACTTACAGTTGGGTATCTCGAATTCCGAGATTTTTAACTAGTTTAAGATTAAATGACTAGACTATTATGCCACAGTTCTACTGTATATAATATGTTACATACTTCTATCTAATTGCCTGCCTGTATTCAAGGTATTGAGGAACTTTAATATTTACGGTTAATTAGTAATCATTAGTACCTAATCCCCATGCGATTTGCATATGGTGAAAATTTGTATATATATAATATATATATATATATATATATATATATATATATATATATATTATGCACATTGAGTTGTATATAAATGTTTAATTAATCTAAGTTCGCCATTATTTACCTACCTCCACCCGACCTTCGTCACGAACTCTTCCGCCCATTAGGCGGACCTGTATCGGTTCTTGAGTTGCATTCCTGATGGGCACCTTGAATTTTGGAAGGATAGTTTCCGGCTTCTGCGCCTCCACTTCATTATCTTCGGCGGTTTCCTGTTTACAAATAACACCGGCGGCTTCTTCCGGCTCGCAATCGCTATTTCCCCAACCGTCGAATCTGCACTTCGATAATTCCGTTTCCGTACCATCACAGTAAATGTTGTCCATCCAAAATTTTCCTAATTAATAAAATAACGATATGATTTTTATATAACCAATCACAAATAAAACTTATTCACTACTTTTTTTCACCATTATTTATGTGGTAGCCCAGCGGTTACCAACCTTTTCGTTTTGCTTTTTCCGGTTTTTTAACAAATATAATAATATATAGTGCTTCTAAAAGTCTAATTTTATAAATACTCAACTGATATCATAGGTTATTTAAAATGTTTGAGACCAAAATTGGAAAAGGTATGTGCGTATCTGCATATGTATGTATGTGAGCCAAAATTTGACCCTTCATAGACTCTTTCTAAAATAAAACGATTATGCAGATTTGAAAGATTTAAAAGCCATTCGATGAAACTCGATAAGGACTCACGTTGTTTTTCTGTGAAAACTGCAAAATGATTTGTCTACGTTTTCACAAAAAATCCTGAACCGATTTCAACCTAAATACTGAAATAGTTTACAAGTATGTAGTACTTAATCAGAAAAATGGATTATGGTGATGATAAATTTAGGAACAGGATTATTTTATAGTTCTAAATTATATAATAAGGGATGAGGGTTTATTCTTGCTATTCTGCTGAAGGTAATAAAATATATAATTAGACCAGAGTTGAGTAAGACGTCATGATAATATCAGAAAAAAATTACATAGACCATGGTAACTTTATTAGATAATTTAGTTAAAAATGTATCAAGAAAACTTATTGTAACGAAGAAAACATGTTTTTGCCAACATTGCTGGAAAAATTCTTTTTTTTATGTCATACAAATGACTGAAATTTAATATTGTCAATTTGTCTCATAGGAATCTTTATGTATTTCGGATTGCTAAATAAATAAAACAGTTTGATAACGATAAAAAATAACATTAATTAAAAAAATATAAATATTCAAGCTTCAAGTATTTTTATAAATAGCTTTTTTGTTAAATCGGTTACGCTTATATAGCGTAAATATTTTTATTTTTTATTATTTTATAGTAAATAGAAACTATGTCTTATTCATCTTCTATTTCTCAAAGAAAGCGTGTTTTCTATATTTAAATTTAAAAATTTTTTACTCTATCTATTTTAAACTGGCAGAAAAACGCTGACAATGACCTCATTAAAAATAGTGAATTTAAGTTTATTTTAAAATATTGCAACAGAATTCGTCCCAGTTTTATATGTTGTAAATTAGTTCAATAATACGAAGTAAAACTGTGAATATATTAATTAACCGGTGATAATATTAACCGATTTTTCAAATTAATTTTATATTAAAATACCTAATTAAAGTGGTTACATGAAGTTAATGAAATATTGTTTTGAAGTTCAACTTTAATTAAATGGTTTTTAAGTCTTATTTTGGTCGTATTTAATTCAAATAAGTTTAACTTGTCAAGTAGATTAAACTTAAATCTGGATTTGTAAATACTAACTGAATAACTCATTAAAGAAGATTAGGACTGTGTCGGATTCATGCAATTAAACAGAGAAGTTTAATTTACTACATAATGCATGCAATTCAACAAAGTTTTAACAAAGTAACATCGAGTACAAATAGTTAACTTGAAAGGCTTGGAAGCTATTTTAGATCGAATAATTTGGTCGTGCAATTAAAAAATAGGGTGATGTAACATAAACTGAATGATTATTATATTTATAATAAAATAATAATAAGTAGATCAATTAAGATAGATTATAAATAAAAATTTTAAAAAAATTTGGCATTCGAATAAAAATATAAATAATACATAAAATTAGATTTAATTGAGAATTTGAAATGTAACTTATATTTGGTAATATTACACTTTCTTCTATATTTTCATATAAAAAATATTTTATTATACAAAAAAATCAAATGTTGTAATTATAACATTTATATTGTTTAAAAGAACCCATCAAGATTATTTAATGACTCCCTGGTAAACCACTCAACGAGATTGAGACATTATTTATTATAAAATATAAGATAAAATAAAAAAAACTAACAAATAAAAATCACGGTTGAAAAGTGAAGTATTAATTATGAAGAAAAGTGTGGGGAAATCTGAAAATATATTGCTAAGAAAGTGAAAAATATTTTTCAAAAGAAAAATTTGAGATAAAACAGTTTCTGATACTACGACTTAAGAAATGCTATACGTAGAAGATATGCAAGTTATGACGTTATTTATTCACGGTGAAATGTGGAAGCAATTTGCAATCGATCATCAGGAGATGAAATAAGATGTTACTTTAAAAACTTAAAATTAAAGATTATCTACAATTATGTATTCAATCTAAAGAGGCAGTTTCCGGATAAAATATGTTACGGGTCTATCTTCGTATGAGTTGGTAGTGACGAGCCATCAAAAAGCTATGTATTGGGTGTAAATAAAAATAAAGTAAAAATAAAACCTAACTTTACATATGTATATGTTCATCAGACATCAGAAAGTTGTCCTTATAATAAAGGTTAGGTTTAATATGTAGAAAGCCCAATTGCACAGCAAATAAATAATTTTTTGGCTGTTCCTTACTATAAAGTGACCATATTTTTTCAAGTCAAAGCCGGGACGACAGTTTTTAGTTATAAAAATCCAGGACGGGGCGGGGAGGGGGGTAAGGTGAGAAGTTCGCATTAACAAATGCCATTTGAAAATACAATAAAAAAACTGTTTTTAATAAGAATCTGTTTTTTAAATCATTATTGTGCAACTTAAATGGTTAATGGGCTGGAAATCACAATATAAAATGAATTCCTAATATACAAGACAATTATTAAACTAATATGGTCTTACGGCCTACACCTATGGGGTGCGGCCAGTAAATCGAACATAACTATTCTACAAAGGTTCCAAAATAAAATTTTAAAAGAAATCGTGAACGCTCCTAAATATGTTCCCAATTGGTTGATACATAATGATCTCAGAATTCCAACTATAGAAGAAGAAATTAGTCAGTACTGCTCCAGATACAAAGCTCGTCTAACTCGTCATCCAAACCATTTAGCGTAGAACCTGCTCAAGCCTTTACCGCCAAAGCGTCTTAAAAAAGAATCTGCAATGATTTACTACAACATATCACATAATATCTAAAAAGGTGCTATCGCAGGATAGCGATAATATAATATTATATTATATCTTATATTTTTCAATCTTATACTTTTCGCTTTTGAGCCGTGTATAAAATTTTATTCCACTTTCTTCATAATTACTTGAAAAAAATACCGTATGTTTGTTTGTTTTCATAAATTTTGGTAATTTACCTATACATTTTCGAAAAACCGGCACAATCTGGAACAAAATATCTAAATCCGAGACAAATTTTAGAAAAACCCGGTATACAAGGTGCAATTCCGGGACTGTCTCGGTCAAACCGGGACGTATGGCCACCTTACTTACTACCACCCAGTGGTGTAGTGCTAATTTTTTTTTGCCGGAACAGTTTTAACATAAAAATGCTAATAATTTCCATAAGATATTCCAAATAGGATTATTTATTGATTAGTATTTTTTTTATTATATATTAAAGTTAATGTTTTTAATTTTATCACTTGAACAGCCTCTGATGCTTCTATGAGTTTGTATCCTTTTTACGTCTCTAACGTCTTTTAGAGATTCCAAATAGCGAATTGTTAGATGGATTAGTTTATCCGCATATATTATCGTGTCATTTTCATTCTGTAACGCTTCAGACAACCGTGAGCTTGCCAAAAATTAGAAAAAAAATTCAACAAATCTTTTTAATTTTTTTGCCAAAACGCGTTCCGGCTCAAAAATGATTTGCCGGAACGACGTTCCGGCTCGACAACACCACTGCTACCGCCTTACACTAATATAAGATAGATCTGTAAAATAGCATTAAAATTTCTATTTTATCCTAATTTTTGTTTCTAATTTTTTTTTCAAAAAATATTTTTGTAATTTTGGATAAAAATTCAAAAAATTACCCAGGCTAAGCACAGTCTAAGCGCCACTCTGGTGCAAATATTTACCCAAGTGCGTTTAGACTGTTTTTGTACTGGAACTTCCAATTTTGTGAAAATTAGGCAACTTTTTGTTTGAAATAGAATTCGAAATGAATTGACGATTGTTAATGTTTACATTTGATTTGTTCAGATATAACAAGATAGCAAAAATAATGAAAGTTACAGTATTTGTAATAATATTTTTGAAAACGTTAAAGATTTCTCGAATATTTAGAAATAGTCCCTAAATTACATCATGTATCCTTTACCACGGTGCATATGCATTTAATAATTGCATTGTACTATTACTATTGCAATGTCACTTACTCCTGGCGAGTCCGAACGTTGCACTGTGCGTGTGCTTCGGCTTGCCCGCGTAGCCAAGCTGCCTGCAAACGACCTCAGCTTCATTTGCGTCCCATTCATCATCGCACACGGCGCCCCATTTGCCTTCGTGCAGAATCTCTACGTTCCCTGAAATGGAATTTGCATGAATTCAACGCACGTTGCACTTTCATTTAGGTTTTTATTTGTCGCGGGCATGAGCACTCCAGTTTTTTTTCAATGATGCATATTAAATGAACTCGTATCAAAGCACTTCGAAATATCATCCGTGTGAGGTATAAATTAAGCTGAAGTAATGAAATCAGTCTGTGCTTATACATACAAATTTTTTAAACTTAAAATGAATTTGGTTTGTTAATTGCACTTTTCTTTCTTCCATATCTAAAAGTGCAACACGTGTTTTATTGTGACTCTCAATAAAGCTTTGAAAAAATGCTTTCATTTTTGACTTTCCGAATGGAAAGTTTGTCTTCGCGAAAAAATCCGATTTACTAATTTTATGTTTTTTTGGCGTTTAAAGTCGATTTGCATCGATTAAGTCCAAATTTTGAAATATGCGCGTGTGTATGTATTTGTGTCGACGTTTTCTTGAAAATAATAAGTCAATTGATGTAGCTCGATAAAGACTATCATTGGTCAGTTTTGCATCATGATCAGCTAAGTTGTTTTTTCTTGTTATTGGCACAAAAGTATAAAAATTTTCGATCACATTTCAGCCGACAATCTCGAATCCATTTTAAAAATTCAAAAACGTTCAAAATTTAAAAATATAGTTTCGAAATCGCGCTGATTGCTTTTGTAATTATATGTTGAAACATTTTTTTACGATTTTGATGAAATTTTATATGACGATAGATGATTTCGTAGTTTGAAATAATATACTAAAATATTCTTGGTCTACGACGTTTTTTTTGCAATTAGCACAAAAGTATAAAAATTTTTCGATCAAGTTTTAACCGACAATCCCGAATCCATTTTAAAAATTCAAAAACGTTCAAAATTTAAAAATTTAAAAATATAGTTTTGAAATCGCGCTGATTGCTTTTGTAATTACATGTTGAAACATTTTTTTACGATTTTGATGAAATTTTGTATGACGATAGATGATTTCGTAGTTTGAAATAATATACTAAAATATTCTAGGTCTACGACGTTTTTTTTGCAATTAGCACAAAAGTATATCGATTCGATCAAGTTTTAACCGACAATCCCGAATTCATTTTAAAAATTCAAAAACGTTCAAAATACAAAAATATCGTTTGGAAATCGCGCTGATTGCTTTTGTAATTACATGTTGAAACATTTTTTTACAATTTTGATGAAATTTTGTATGACGATAGATGATTTCGTAGTTTGAAATAAGATACTAAAATATTCTAGGTCTACGATAAGCGATTGAATTATAGAAATTCGTTAAAATTTAGAAATTTGCCGAACACTTATTAGATTCTAATCAGAATCTATGCAGAAGCTGATTACTACAAAATTGTGTTAAACAAATTAATATATAATTCATACAATTACAGATATTATAAGTATGTTGAAAAACATCAATTCGAAATCGCATTGATTTTAAGTGAAAGCAAAAATTTTATTTTCAAAATAACTAGTTGAACATTTGATATTATTTTTCTGTTCTTCCGTACATAAAGACAGTAGTACACCTATTTCTATTATAATACTCCATAATGTAATTTAAAAAAAAAATAATAATTTCTATAACTAAGAAAAAATCGCCGAAATGAAAAAATAGCATTTCTACATCTGTTTGGACGTATTTTTATTTTATTATATTGGCCATGAAAGTGACAACCTTCAGGGCATTAAGCTTTACACGGAATGGTTGCTATCCCTGGTAGAGGGGGTAGCGGAGTTTTTTAATTGAACTAGTTGTTCACTTCTAAAAGTAACGTCTGCTTAACAACATGTATAATAAATAATAGATATATAAATATATCTTCTTTCATTATAACTTAGTGACAATTCAGTGATTGTAATTAGAACTGCAACAAATACATAATTTACAAACAAATCAGTGTTTAATACAGTCCACAGCTACAAGGGTTAAATTATAATCCAACAACCTAAATTATCAAAGGAGAGTTTGAATAAATTTCATAACTACGTCGCAAATACAACATTATTTACTATGTTCTTGATATCTGTATCCTAATTATTAATTATGATACAACTACATTAAATTGAAAAGGTAATATATAAGTACGAATCAGATTATACGGATGAACGATAATCATGATTTATGATTTTCCCTTTAAGAAAATGATTTGATCCTGGATGTATTCTTGTAACATCCGTACGTTGATGGAAATGTCACGCGCGCAATCATACAAATAGTTATCTTCCTGATATGCGAGTGAATTGATTTCACGCAACAAAAATTTTACTCTTCAATCCTTGCCGTCTTATTTTCAATATATTACGGATGACATATGATAAGAATATGATATGTCGTTGAAAAAAAACGAATGTTGGAAATAGAATATGAGTATATCCACTTCCACGCAAACATATGCACATATTTTATATACGTAGGTACATGAAAATTGAAAAGAATCACTTCGATAAACTGAACATTTTATTGTTTAGTATAAATTCCATCCTTTCCATCTTTTGTTTGAAACAATCTTTTTTAATTGATAGTGGTCATTATATTTTTAATAGATTTATTTAAAAATTATGAACTTTTTTCAAGATGTTGAAACCGCTGAATCTGCTTTCCTCAAAAACTAATAATTTCTTTGAACCTTCAACGCAAGCAATATATTTTTTGAATCATTCTAATCGGATGCTCCGTTCTAACAAGATCCTCTATTCTGTGCACTTTTTGATCTGTATCTACGAAACCGCAGGACATGCTTTTGTCAAAATCTATTCAACATGTCTTCCCGTTAATACGAATCAAATGTTTTTTTAATCATTCGAATTCCAAAATATGTATCCGCACATACACATGCGGCACGCACACACACATACATCCATTTATTTTAAGGTATGTTCAGGAGGTCTTGAAATGTAGAGACACAAACATTTCCATTTTTGCTTTTTTGCCATCGCTATAACTTCACACTATGTATAATTTTTCTGAAAAAAAGGATGTTTTTAGTTGAAAAAGAAAATCATAAATAATAGCTATCCAGAAAAACTAAAAAAAATAGTATATATACTAGATGACCCGACAGCCGTTGTCCTGTGCTTATGTTTACAATTCAAAAGTTCCAATTTTTTTTAATAACCTATACTGATATTTACCAATTAGTTAAATATTATTATGTTTTTTTTTACACTACAGTCTATACCGAAATGTATATACATCCACCTATATGGATCCTAAATGTACAACTGTTTTAAATAAAATGATGAGTATTTGCTTTTTTGAAAACATTATGAAACATTTTTTTTATATTAAGTTCTTTTATTAATGCCCGACTTTATTTTGAAGAAATGAAATTACACCACTGAAAGGGATGTCATCCCCCCGGAAAATAGCAAAGAAGTCTAAATTATTTTCACTTTTGAACTTGAGAGTAAAATAAACCTAATTTCAAAATTTCATACGAGTTGGAGCACAGTAAAAAATTCAGACTCTAAACACTCCATTGACTTGAGTAAATTTTCTGTATCCGATGGCAAAAATATGAAAATACTAACGTTTGTATGTGAAAAAGAAAAGGGCTGCTTTTAGGGTTTTTCCGACAATTATTCAATTTTTTTTTGCTATTAGAACCATCCTTGGACTTCAACGAACATTTTAAAGAAAGAATTGGCCAAATTGGTTCAGGCGTTATTGAGTTATGCGCTTACCAACACATTTTACGATTCATTTTTATAAAAACTTTAGAAATTTATCAAATTTTGAATGTAATAATTATATTAAAAAAATTGATTTTACCGTTTTGAATGTCCCTGTCCCAAATTAAAATTAGTTAATTGTATATGTGATTGCTTATTCTTTAATAAGAAGTCTAACATGACGTATTATACATTAATTTTTTTAACCTCTATGTTATAAATAAGTTTTTCAACACAATATTGAATCACGTAAAAATTTTAAAAATCAATTGCTTTTCTTATTAAATATATAGCAAAAATCTTTTGGATGTTTGCAAGTTCTCCATGTCCTGTACCTGTACACATACTACATGTTCCTATGAATATTCTGCTACATTAATTCGGCACTATGTACTTCCGTATCGAATTCAAAGCGAAAGCCTCTTATTATTCAAATACCCATTATTATTCATGAAATATAAACGTAGAAAATAGTTAGTAATGACCGTTGATTCATATGGAACGCAGCTGCATTTGGAGTGCATCTTGACCCATTTCTTATATGCAACTACTATTACTATACTATAGTACTGGCATTGCACCAATGCTCTGCTGGCAATAGATTTATTGGAGAATAATACTAGTATTATCTATTGACCGCAGGAATGGACCATGGACATAATACTTATGAGCAATTTTATTGCAGATAAATGGCATTCACTGCCCATGTATTTAAATTGATAGCTAATAAAAGGAAGAGCGGGAATTATTACAAGGTTTTCATATGAGTCTGATTTATCAATCATGGTTCCACTTATATATTAAAAAATTAATACCCAATGTGCTTGTAAATCAGTTGATGCTAGTTGCATGTACAAAATACTTCAACATTTTGTGACAATTAAATACTTCTATTAAGCCCAAAGAACATATGTTTCAAAATTACCTTAAATATGATTGATTTGAAAAACTATTTTTTATTTTAGTGTTTCAGCTACAAAGTATAAATCATTTTATAAATTAAGTATAAATCCTAGAATATTTACAAAATCCGGGTGCAAATATTTTTGTATTAGTGCAACGAAGGGCGGTTATCGATTTTTAAGTGTTTTCATTAATCTGGTACATTTGGCTACATTTGTCATTTTTTATTTTTTTAAGTGCCATTCACATATTGAAAGCAGGTGTTTTTCACTATAAAACGGTTTTTGAATTCGATAATTTTCCTTCAAAAACCAATTTTTGAGAGGACAAACTTTAATATTAACCAGCAGTGCTTTATCTCCGTCTAATAATTTTTTTCTTAGTTTTCATTTAATTTTTCCACAAATATTATTTATAACATATTATTTATCATAAACATTAACTTGATCAATTGCATTATTACATACAATTTGTTTCGAAATGGCTTTCTAAACAGTTTATAACATCGGTTTCATTATTTATGGCCTTACTCAGTTCACGGTTATAAAATGATTAACGATGCCGTTTAAGTTGCAGGTGGTGGCTGAGCCAAGTTTTCATACATTGTAATGAAAATTGAAAATGAGAAACATCTGAAATCTATCCATTTAATGGTTTTTATGATGATAAAATTATTATGAGCGATTTTCTTGAACATTGGAAAATTATCCTATATGTAAAAAAAAAGATTTATTAAATATCGTGCAAGTTTGCCAACACGTGGCTAAATAAGTAATGCAAATTATAAATAAGAATAAATAAATTTCATTCGAACTTGTTAAACACTGACTGTGCCCTGCGTTGTATATATATATATATATATATATACATACATATTAGGGTGGTTTTTAGTATGGACATTTTCGAATTTCCTTGCTCCCTATTTCCATACAAAACTTTTGATTGAATTGCGCTCTATCTAAAAGATAATATTAAGAGCTAAAACTTTCAGAAAATTGTTTTTTATCAATTTGGAAGCATTTGAGCCCTTGGAAGCAAGGAAATTCCAAAATGTCCATATTAAGGATCACCCTGATATATATATATATATATATATATGTAGATATATATATATATATATATATATATATATCTATATATATATAAAAGAGGATCGCTTTATGTGCTAACACTTATAACTCACGAACGGCTGAACCGATTTAGATGAAAATTGGCAGGGAGGTAGTTTAGAGCCAGGAGAAGGACTTAGGATACTTTTTATCCCGATTTTCAGTTTAATTGATAGTATATTTATAAAATAAATAGTATATTTATAAAATAGATAGTATATTTATAAAAAAAATACTAGCTAGCCCGGCCACGCGTTGCTGTGGCTCAGTAATTGGTGGCAGAGAGGTAGTTTAGAGCCCGTTTTTCATTTTAATTCAGAATTAATTATTTATAAACTATCCATGTAGTTTATTCAATCTATGATACTATATATATATATATATATATATATATATATATATATATAAGGTGAAGTGAAGTTTAATAATAATGCCGCGGCCAAGACTATATATATATATATATATATATATATATATATATATATATATAAGGTAAAGTGAAGTTTAATAATAATGCCGCGACCAAGACTGAAAAAGAGCATTACTTACATTTACATGTACATTTTGTCGAATAACTTATTCCCAGTTATAATTTCCAACAGAATTTATCAAAGAATGGTTAGTAATATATGAAGGTACGGGGTTAAAAGTTTCACGACCAAAGTGTCAAAATCCATTAAAGCTGAAGCATTGTTTAACAACATTATTTGAAAGTGAAGGGAGAAAGATGTATAACCAGCTATAACCTTGATTCTTATGACTTTGATATTGGGAGATAAACGGTCATCTTTGAAAATCCATAGTAAAAGTATTTTCTTCTGTTGGTAGCTTTTTAGCATTAGTTAAAAATGTAATTATTTTGTAAAATACCTTTAAAATTAAAATAAGACATTAAACCTGTTTGCCATCTGGCCGTTCCAAGTTACCTCGCCTATAGGGTAAAAAGGTCTAGATAACAAATTTTTGAAAGACAGCAAAAAAAGCACATTTTTAAAATGACGAAGTCTGTAGTTTTACTGAACGTAGTCAGCTAATCGTTCGTTTGAAATATTTTTGATTCTCTAGAAATTGTTTAGAATATACCTTACTTAGCAAAACAACGTTTGCCGGGTCAGCTAGTATATATATATATATAAAGTTTTATGAAAAGACGTATTTTCATTAAATGAGTTTATAAATGGGATATCGTAAGTAGTAAATTGCAATTTTTTTGCATGAAATAGCGTATTACGAATGTTAGACTATAATAATATAAATGAAAAATCTCTTTTTATATATTATAATATATACATTGCTGACTTTAAAAAATATAATACGTAGAATTTTTATTATTTTTTCATCTATCATAGATTTATATCAAAATATATAAAGTATATATATATTTTCAAAACAAACTAGCAACATTTTTTATTATTTGTTAAAAATACTAAAATTTATATGATTAAAAATACACAGTAATTAATTTGAGTATTTAAGAAATGAACTTTAGAATAATTTGATTTTTAAAAATATTGTTTTTGATAAAATTGCATGAAATTGATTTTGGGTCAGATTTTTAGGCTTGGTTTACAAATAAACAAACTAAATTAAAACACCGATAACTATTACAATAATTAATATTTATAAATGTTATTCATATAATAACAAATATAATTCCAGAAACTTTATCTTTTGAATCTGTTGTATGTAGCTATGCTCAATTTTATTTTGTATATTATTAATATTCAGTAGAATAAGTTATAGCAATCGCAACAAAATCGACTTTACTTACATTGACAAAGTGAAGACCTGATTACATTTTTAGAAAGACAAGTCCAGCGCTTTCGGACATACAGAAAAAAAGCTTAAAAAACTTACATTTGGTGGCTTAAATTGATCATTAAACATAGCCACATCAAATTATTAATTATTTTATAGAGATTTCAATAATTTGATTTTTGTTTTCATTACTTTGGATTGAGTATCAAGAATTATATTCATAATGTTTAGATTATAATACCGTAAGCTCTTATAGCTCTTCTATTTTATAAATTAAAAAAAAATGAAACTTACAGTATTTATAATAATCTATTTGAAAATATTTAAAAGAATTTTTATTGATAATTCATCAATTTTTATTGATTATTAATTATTTTTATTCTTCGAATATTTATTAACGGTACGGGAAGTTTCATCAATTTGCCTTCAAGGCACAATGCCATGCACCACTACTTTACAATTATATTTATTACTTATAGCTACAATTTTATGGAAGTATTTAAGTTATTTAGTTGATTTTATCATATCGCCAGAATATTATTAATATCCTAAAAAATTAAACAAACATTTTGATTACTACCTTCCAATTCATTACTACCACCGACCAACTTAATAGCACCATCTTCTTTCTTTAATTTCTTCAAATATTTCCTAACCAGCTTTGCTTTATTTTCCCGCCTTTCTTCACCCGCAGCGGCTGCAGTCGTTGCATTCACCAAACTATAAGCACTGCACAATAAAACACACAACACTAACCAGTTTTCTGTCTTCATTATTAAAAAAAAAACAAATAAAAATTTAAATCCTAATCACGACATTAAAACTAACTTATCTATTAATATTGTTTTATCTTGTGAACTAGTTTATAGATCATTGTAAAGTGATCGATTCGGCTAATTGTGCCACACTGACATATCTGACCGTTTATTGCAAGAATGATTTCCTGCACTGCCTTATGTTAACATTAACACACATGGTCGGTCGATGAAGTTAAGAATCTGATATACTATGAGTTACCAATCTGATCTAAATCGGTATCGCAAACGTCACATGTTACACACAAGTGAGTTACATACTGGTGTATGCGCGCGTACTCTATTTCTAACATTCTTTCAAAGCGCTCTAAACATTTCCATAGGAGGAATAAACAATTGAAAAAAGAAAATTATTAACAGGTCTATTTGCGAATGAACTTGTTTCTTAAAATAAGGAATCGTCCATTAATCACGTGATCGATTTTTTAGGGATTTTTGGACCCACCTCTGCCCCTTGGTGATACATAGTGATATTTAAAATTACCCAGCCTCTCCCACCAAACATAATCTGTATTTTTAATTACGCAAAATTTTTTGATCAAAATTTTCGAATTTATAAAAAAACCGTAATGTTTTTCATTTTTATTAGAAAATTTACAAAATGTTTCAATTAAAAAAAATCAGGTGAAAAATGAATAGACGCCCCCTAAGGTAAAAGAACTTGGTGGATTTGCGATTGATACAGTTAGGTCATGCCGTCTTATTTTGTAAGATATTATCTTACTTAAACCATTGAGAAAACTATTAGGGTGTATGGCATCGTGCCTTAAGGCAAATTGCTGGAACTTCCCGTACCGTAATCAAAAATCTTGGCACGAAACCTAATAAAATTTACACAAAATGTGTACACATTATGAAAATCTCTATAAAGTATCTGACAATTTGATGTGCATATGTCTAATGATCATCTTTGACTGCCAAAAGGCGTTTTTTTAACTTATTTTTATTGGGAGTCCAGAACCGCTAGACCTGCTTCCATAAAAATTTAAAAAGTTTTTCATCTTGTCAATACAAGTAAAATGCTTTTTAAATAATTAAAATCGGAGAGCCCGTTCTCTTAAAAACTAAGTTACCGTTTTTGGCACTTTTTGCCCCCTATCTTCGTACTGGCTAGACCTACCTTCGCCAAAATCTAATCAGCACGTCTCCTTATCAATATGAATCGAATGTTTCTGAATTATTCAAATCGGTTGATCCGTGTTCCCCACACAAACATCCATTTTTCCAAAGTATGCCAAAAGGTTCAAAAACCTTTGAAACGTAAAGATATATAAAAGTTTTCATTTTCGATTTTATAACTTATGACACACAATCTTTAATAAATATATTGACAACTATTGATTGCAAACAGGGTAGACATTTGAATAGTTTTCAATATGAAATTGAAATTTTTCCTTAATTATTTCTTCTCAAAAACGCTCAATTTACTGAAAGTGAATTGAAAAATTGCTTAATTATTATAATATTTTTTACGCAAAAAATATTTGCTGTGAGAGGGTAAACATTTAGAGGTACCGTTTGTCGCCAATTCATAAGGGGTAATATTTTGTCTATAAAATACGAAATATGGAAAAGATATACACATAAGAAAAAAAAATGACTCAAAAAATAAGGGTGGTCTAACTTTACCACTCGCATATATTAAAAATATGTGAAACCTTTTTAGGGGATATATCTAATAATTTTCCAAAATTTCAAAAAATGTTTAAAATTTTCTAAATGATAGAGAACATACAGACATACATTCATATATATACATAATTCACATACTTCTAGTTTCGCATACAAGCAAATGTTACACATTCTCAGTATAAACGTAAAAATGTAGTTAAAATAAGCGCTTTAAAAAAAAACAAATATTAAAAAAATTAATATTTGAGATAAAGTCTACGTAGCAAAAATGAAATAATGACATATGTAATAAAGAGTCGCAAAGAAAGCTTGAAGTAAGGATCTTGTCAGCTATAAGTATTATATAAATTAAGAAAAATGCAAGAGTACAATAGGAAATTTCTTGCATCATAAATCTGCGTTATTTGATTTTCTTATATATATATATATACATATATATATATATATATATATATATATATATATATATATATATCTGTGAGTGTAAATGCGTTGCAATTTTCTCTTGTTTCATGAACCGCACATTTTATTTCCCTCGACGATTCTATGTTATTAGGTTACCACCTTTCATTATATAAGAATATTCTTAACAAACCACAAAGTTGCGCAAAAGCAAAGAAAATACAACTCGAATTAAGTATACTAATCACATAAAAGATACTTCGGATAAATTCCATACCATTTTACAATATGTACTCGTATGTAAATCTATTACGTTATTAATAAAACAAATCTATGGAAATATAAGTTTTACTAAGAGACAGAGCTTTAGGAGGTAATAACCGAAGAAAAATATGGATATCTAACAACCACTCAAGTAGATTAAACTACTGCGAAAAATGCAGTTCATTTTTATTACGAAACGCATCATATCGCAGTGACAGTATAATTTTCTAGACTTTTTATATGATTAGTCTTGGCTTACGTTTCCAATAGTCATATATTGAATCTATTTATATATTTGAAGTCTTAGTACAAAATTATTATTTTGTGATTGATCGATTCTGGAATCGTACCTCAAACGGTTTGACCTATGGGCGAATCATTCTGTTGAAATTTAAAGACAATATAATTTTAAATTTAATCTTCTAGCAGATTTATTAAAGGTAGTCTTTCGAAAAATATGATAAATTGGGATGAAGTTCGCAAACATTTAATTTAGGAAGATGGATGATGACATCTAGAAAAGAGCGACCAAACTTATTTGTACATTTTAAAAATCTTTCTGAAAAAGAGCCTTTACAGCCACAAATTTGGATATAAAGTATGTTAATTTTAATATATTTTCTGGTTTGATCGATGAATCGAATTATAGTTTGAGAATCTCTCCCAGATTGATCAATGATTTTGCAACTGATCAGCTGATTTTCCTTTAAACAACATCGATGCGATGCTAACATCAATCATATACTTTATTGCGTTCGAGCATGTGGTCAATGAGCTGTTTGTAATCAAGCCAAGAATAAATTATATATAGTTTGGCTAATTATCTAATTTGTAATGCATGTGCCAGTCCGTGGCCTTGATATTTAAATGCATTAAATGTCCTTGATTACCGAATTTCCGTAGCAGCAATTAGAGAAAATTTTAGATCAGATGTAAAAGCGTGGTATTTTAGAAGGATGCTGGCGATATTGTAGAAAACTTCTGATCACCAATCTTGCAAACAAATTTAAATTTATGTATAACACAGCGTAATTCTTTCGAATTTGTTCATTCAATATCAATATCAATTCTATATAGAAAGTATTTTTTTATTTCTATCTTTTTTTACTTACAGATATATATAAGCAGTACCATCATCATGGATAAACGGAAAAATGGGTTTGTCGCAACTAACATGTGTTTTCTGGTTGGAAATTATTACCATGATGACTTTGGCAATCTTACAACATTCAATCAAATGGTATGTACCTGCACATATACTAAACTCATATGATAATTTATAATAAGATAATAGGTTGTCAAATATCTCCCTTCCGCCTTTTTGTATTATAAACCAAGAGCAAAAAAGCGGGAGATATTTGACAACCTAATATTTAGTAGATCATCTAAAATATTCGTAATTTTGATCTTAAATATATTTACCTTGCGTTACTGTTATGCCTGAAATAGAGGAAGATATATTTCTCTTGTATACCTACTCACATGCTGTTTGTTTAATGTGAATTTTCATCCAAACAGAACTTTGTCCAGAGTTCTCCAACTAGTTGTGAGCATTTTAAAGTATACCCTCGGGCTTAACTTGAAGTAAAGTTAATAATGCACTTGAACCAACAAATCTTGAAAGATCCGCAATAAAGACCATTGCACACTTACTCGATAGTTGTAACAAGTATATGTATTTTTATTTCGTGACGAAGCAAGATTACTAAAATTTTTGAATATCAGTAGTAAATCTGCTTCATCCATTTTGAAGCAAGAAAGATGCTTTTTTGCATTTTCTGTAATAATAATAATGAGTCTAATATGAATTACTGGGTGAAACGCTAGTAGAAAGAACTTGAATTCATGATTTGAGATCAATAAAATATTTTAATTCTAACTTTATGAACAAGCAGCGAATAAATTATGAATATAAAGCTTTTTTTCGTTATTTTACAGTTTGTTATTTTACATCAGAAGCATTATATGTTTCATAAGCTATATTGAGCACTGCTTATCTCTAACAACTATGTTAATCATAAGCAATCTTTTGAATGTCTACCAGATATATAATTTTAATTTTCTCTGAACAACCTCATAATCGCCTTTTTATTTGGGCCATTTGCACTGGGCAACGTATCATTTAATCCAAATGTAAATCGAAGTCACTTCTGGTTGACGTCAGGAGGTTCGAGGTAGAATTGAACCTGGAATCTCTGATTTTAATCCTATAGCTGCAATTACTAAGAAATTTGGTAAATCCCGAAATAGTTCTAATAACACTATTTTACTTCTTACGTTCCTCGTAGATAAGTGGTTAGAGCGACTGAACCTGAATAAGAAAATCGCGGGTACCATCGCGCTTTTTGGAGCTTGATCAGGCAGTAGTGATATCAGTTTCTACTTGGCAATATATTGCTATCTATAAAAAAACAGTCCTGTTACGGCATTGCTGCATCAATAAATATTTGCTCTATTACAAAAATTTAATAATAATAATGAAGTTTATCGTAAAGAGATGAGACAAATGTTTGGGTTGCCATCTGCAAAACCGATGTCAAATCAGCATAACAACTAATAGGACCCTCAACTCCTCATTGCTGTTTAAAACAAGGTTTAATAATATCATTTACATTTTAGGGCTCGCCCGTAGGTAAGCGGTTAAGAGCAACGGGACTTGTTTCAGAGGTCCCGGGTTCGATACCCACTTCGAGCAGCCTGTTGTCAGGCAGCAGTGACAACGATTTTCACTTGGAAATATAGATAGCAATATGTTTCCAAGTGAAAATAGCCCTTGTCCGGCATTGCTGCACCAATAAAAAGTTAGCCCTATTAGATTAATTCTAATAACAAAAATCATCAAATATGGATGGATTAACCATTGGGTTACTATCTAAAAATACGATGTAAGGAGAAGTTTCAACCCAACAGCTCATGGGACGTAAGGTTCTGATTGCTGTTAAATATATATGAAAAAAATTACATTTTAAGTAAGATTTGGGTTACTGGAACTATATTTAGGGTTTTGATGTTAGTGTAGGATAAAAGAAACAGTTTTATGTGGCCAAAAAATTAGGGTTGCTGGTAAAATAACCTTATTCTAAAATAAAGTTTTAGTGATAAAATACCCAATTGATCAATCAGAAAAAGAACGATAAAGTGTATTTGTAAAAATTAAACATTGTTTGAACCCTCTGCTCTCCTTCCACCCCGCATTTGATAGTTCCTTTGTTACATTCGTAGCCAGACCATACAAAAAACAACCTCCACAAGCGCGCAATGTATGACATTTGTTTAGGCGCTAATATTTCGGCGCTTTCCCGCGCTGGATCGATCCGAACTACGCCGAATTCGCACGGAAGGCTACGATAACGCATAATAGTATTTGATCGCCGTGCTGGAAAAGCAGCCCGGAATCAGTCGGTCCGGGTAAGCCTTGCGAGACGCACCCGTTGGCGGTTGACATTTTGCAAATTCAAAATCAAAACAATAAATTCTCTTGTCGTGTTTAAGAATTTTAACCTATGTCACTACATGTAGATAAATTAGAAAATTATTGTTGTCATATAGTAAAATTATAGTGGTGTAGATAGATTTTGTGTAATATTTTGAAAAACTTTTTAAAATAGTTTTTGTGCCCGTGCCATGACTGTACCATGCTTAACCTGTAATGACATCTTACCATTAAGGTAAAGTAACGCACGACACCTGAGTGTATATTGTCTTCAATTAGCGTTATTAAATAGGCCCGCATTCAAATAGGCAAATCGCGTGATAAACATTAAAAATAATCTATTTTGTATTCTCGTTGCTTTTGATGAACGATATTGTTCCACATTCAATTTGCTAATTGTAATATACGCATGTGTTTACATAATTTTTCAAATATTTGTAATTGATTATCTAACAGCGGGACAGTTAACGCACGTTCTCATTGACCGTTAAAGAAATAGATTCGTTGACACAAATTTCTAGTAATGCTAATATAATTTTATTAATTTCTTATAAAATTCTAACCTCCTATGCCAAGCTTTTATAGTTTACATGCCTTTATCATGGTTTTAAAATGAAAATATTCACTATATCACTATTTGATAACCCATCTAATCTAAATTAATAGCATTATTACATGCAAGTTACTAAATTAATTTGTTATAGTATACTGTTTTATTATATATTTTTATTGACGTTCGTCATTATATGTTGTTTATTTCTAAATTCGCAAGTTTACTATGAATTATTCTATGTTTGAATTCACATAACAATTACATTTTTGTTTATAATTTTTACACTCGTAAATTTAAAAGAAAACAATTATGTTTAATACAATCAAATTAAGTACGTTGAAACAGTTTAACGGTTTTTTGTTTGAACTTTGATTTATTGAGGAAATAACCCATATTTTCGATATTAATTATATTAACTATATGAATCAATTACTAAAATCAAAATACCAGTGACGACAATAATTTCAAAAGGAAAATACAAAAAATATTATAAAGAAATTGAAGACAAATAAGATTGAATAGGTATTTAAAGATATTTTATTTATAATAAATTTCATGTTATTGTATAATGAAATAGAAAAATTAATATGTATATATATAAAATTTGAAAATTGTTTCATAATCTCTCATACCAGATACCCCTGTTCGACTAAGATATGAAAAAATTATATCAATAAATAAAAAAAATCACTAAAATGACCAAAGAGACTATTTAGAAAATTTACTCACAACATAATTTTATTCCGGTCATAAATAATTTTCTTATTCATTATTTTAATCAAACTCTATCTTATTCTTAGTGTACGAGTTAGTCATTTGTTATATATTTGTATTCCTCAGTCGTTTAAAATCAAATTTATTTATTCTAAATAATTTTTCAATTATTCTAGAGTCAGTTGCTAATAAAACCATAAACATTCCTAAATTTTATGTATATTTGTATTCATACAAACGTGCGTAAACGGTTTTGTGTACTTTAACATTTGTGCCAAATAAATGTTTAGATAATTTGTGTACATATAGATTAATTTTCTGTTAATATTGAATTTATTGCCATTATTGAAAAAGTGGGTTTGAGTAAATATACAATTAGTTGGAATCTTTAGAAATGAAGTGCTAATAGATTTATATTCTTTTTAATTAATAATCCCGTTAAAATGTATCGTTATTTTCGACTCTCTTCTCAAATTTCAAATTTGTCAAAAAATTTATTAAATATAAACAATAAATATAATGTAAGTTGTTCAAGGGCAAAATTTATTTAAAATAGTTATAATTTACCTTTTATAAAATTCAAACTTCAATAACATACCTATACCCGTACCTATAAAAACATTTACAAAATTCGTATAGGTATTTTTTTAAAAATATTTTTTGAAATTTTTTTTTATTTACTTTTATTATATTATTTGTACCCGAAAAAATACAAGCAAGGATATATTTATCAGATATATTATATTATTAAAAAGAAGCAAGGTTATACTTTCATTTAGAAGTATTTTCGTTGTGAATACCGTCATAACAAAAATCATTAGTAAAATTATTCAATGAATACATTTGTTGTTTTCCCAATGTTTTTGTAACAAAACAAACCCGAAGCATCCTTAATACCTCTAATTACTAAACCTCAATTAAAACACTGTCTTTCAGAGAACAACACAAAGATACAAAATTCCATTCCGTTCGAAACACTCTTTGTTGAATATTCCGGGCCAAGGCATGATTTTCATTAAGTCTTATTGTTTGTGTTGATAATATGTAAGCTAATTATATACGTGTGAGTAATCGTTATACAAACACGAAATTCCATCAATACATATTTCATTAGCTCTGCAATATTGGGTAGACTACAAGTCTCTTCTTCAATTACTTCAGAGACCCGTTTTGGCACTCTAGATTGGATTAAATTAATTAGACCCTATAGTGATGGAAAGTTTTGGTCCACTAGTGAAAGAGATTTGATTACACCTACAGATTTATATATAGAAGTATTAGGAATCTATTTTCGCATAACAAACTAGATTTCATATTTGTGTACCCAAAGACTTACTATGATCTCTATATTTTATAGGTTTCATAAGAACTTGAAATATGGTTTAGGAATAGCAATGAGGTTCAAATAGATCGTTTTTATAAGACTTTTGAATTTGCATACTCACATCGAAGATCAATAGCTGCAATTGTTTTTTTTTTCAATTTAAGTTTCAGAGCAACTAGTCTCGAAATTTAGTGAAATTTTTCTTATTAGCTAACTTTATTTTTAATGCTGCTAAGTTAAAAGAATTTTATAATAATATATATCGTTCATATATTTTTTATTAATATAATAATTAATATTTTCAAAACGAGCATACAAAATTAATTTAACAGTAATTATTAAATACTGTCTAAGTTCCGTTTATATCGTTTATATATATTTAATGGAGGTAAATTCAAAGATGTTTAGTTTTGAATGAGCAAAATATTTTTCGTTATTATAAACTTATTTAATTTATAAATCAATTTATATATATATATATATATATATATATATATATATATATTTTCAAATTGAAATTAAAATTAAAAATCATTTGTCTATCATATATAACTGTTCTATGTGCAACCTTTTCACTCATTACATTTATAGCATATATTACTATATGCGTATTAATGTAGCATATACCTGTTTAATATAATGAAGAATGATTTACGAACATTTCGTTGCCAAAACCATTATTTCAAATTCCACCCATAAATTATTTTTAATAAAGATAGCATACTACTGGAAAATATAGAGAAAATGAAAAATGCAAAAAAAGTTTCTCTGAAACACAAAACCAGGACACTGAGTTCGTATGCGGGTGGTGTGTTGCCAAAAAGATACTTGATTACATGCGCGTTAATAATTCGATATGATAATAACGCGAAAATCAGAAATACATGCCGGGAGTATGCTTGAAATGAACGTTTATGCAGAGGAAATTGCGAAATTTATTTACAGGACCGCACAGACACATTTTAATCAAAACATTACAGTAAACTAGGAAATATAATTACTTGCACAAATTTAATACAGGTGGTTAATGAAATATGTTGCCATCCAATTTTCTTATATAATTTCAAAAATATTGTGAGAAATAATTTAAAATACTTATTCATGATTTCCAGAAACTTCAAAATGTCTTTCCATAAAATGAACGTTTAAAATAAATCCTAAATTTTATTTAATTTCTATAAATTTCAGTACAAATGATTATCTTTAATATTTCTCTAACTACATAACAAAATTGCATGATCTTTTTAACTTTTAAATAATTTATCATCTGAATCTGTTATTATATCGTTTGCATTTTCTCATGGCGCTTGTATTTGTACTCATGAATTCTTAATAATACATGTTGAGCTGTGATCTCCTGGTTGACAAGAATTGAAGTTGTCATGGGCTTAGTCGTGTAAAATTATTGTAATATAAATATAATTACACGAAATATGGAGATTTATAACCTCATGTGTAAATTTGATATTATAATCGAATCCAGGACTAGTCGGTGCTAGCCCACGTCCTCACTGATAACGCCATCGCTGGGTCCAGATAAAAACATGTAAATACTAGAAAAAATTGTTAAAAATATTTCACAAAATCGTGAAAACCCAGTAGAAAATAGCTCTAAACTTTTTTCAATAAATTTATTACAATCAGGGTGTTTTGAATCGATTTATACTTGTGTAGCTACTTCGATTTGAAAGTTCTGAAATGCAGAACGAACGAGTACAAATCATTTCAATTAACCATCTAGAATCCACAACAGCCCGCTAAGCGTGAAGAACAAGCGGACACTCTACAAGACCGTTACTACTCTCGGTGTGTATGATATTTTTCATCCACGATTTTGGTTCATCTATCCTAAAATTCGGCCCTGTAAACTTTTCTCGAGCAGTCTGGTAATATGATGCTTAACTTTGTAAAATAGCTACCAAATCCCAGCCGTATTAGAGGCAAACGCTAGGGATCATTTTACCACTTTCCACAATGCGTTATATACCTTAGCTGGCTGGTACTGCTCAGATTATACATAGCGCGAAAGCTCCACCGTACATGAGGTAGGTGTAGGCACACGAGGTGTGGTACTGTAGTGAGTCGCAAACTGTCATACGCGTGCTCGTTACTTTGGGTTAAGAATAGCAATAAGCAATGTAAAAATGTAACACGATACTTGTACCTACGTAGGGAAGACGAGGGCGACAAAACAACTTTAGAAATAAAACGGGCGGTAAAAGGAAAATTCTGTTTGTAATATTATAGAAGTATAGATGTATACTATGATACGATGTAAGAAAGATATTTCTATGTTTCATAAAAATGTATTAAAATATGTGATTATCAAACAAGAAATTTATTTCTATCAAATTCCAAAGCTCCTTGATTCCCACAGAATAATGGGTTTTCCACGGTTTTATGGCTAAGCTTACGAACTCCTCGGACACCACGGACTTTCCATGGTGTGGACTGGGTTGTGAGTTCGAATTCCACTTTGAACAATCTAATATCGTGCAGTAGTAATGTCTATATTTACTTAAAAATGTAGATCAAAATTATGTTCTCAATTGAAGGTAGTCAATTTTAGGTACTGCGGTTTGATTTACTTCAAATTAATTTATTTAATCCAATTTGTTTAATTTACTTTAAATTCCAAATCTTA